ATTAGTTTTGTTACCATCTCAAATAGAAACCCATTTTTTAAATTTACATTTCTATTGTATTAACAAATGTTTTTGTGAGAATATTGTGATAATGGTATCCTACAAATATTCTGTCAACTATAAATATAATGGCGATATAAAACTTAATGTAATGAAAACTGGAAACACTAAAAAGGTTTGATCATTTGCATACTTATTGTTTTATGTATCTGCCTTATTTGGATTCCAACTCAGATAATCAACTCGAGTCGCAGCCTGATACTCTTTCACTAAATATTCTACAACTTCTCGTGAATTGTCCAGTTCATCAAGATTCTCCTCGAACATTTTTTCTTTGCGGAATTGTTCCAAAAATGCTTCACGTTTACGCAATTTGTCATATTGTTGTAAGGCTCTATCAAACAACTGAAACACAGTTATCAATATTTAAAATCAAATATAGAATATTATATTATATTATATATTGTGCTGTGATATTAGACGATAAGTTTTGATAATTCAACAGCCAATACTCTTACCGATGATATGTTAGTATGATTAGCTAACATTAAACCAGAAACGCGATGTGTACTTTGTATATAAGGAGATTTTCGTGAAAGAGCTACTTGTATACTAGCAGGACCCCACGGAATAAACTGTGCGAGTTTTCGCTCTCTAATCCTTTGTAATGATTTGTGCACTTGGGTCGGATCCACCTCACCCTATTCAAAATACATTATATATTGAGCAATATATAATATTTCTTTTAATATAAGGAAACATAAATTAATAAATAAATTTCTTGAATAAGTGAATTTCTCTAACAAAAATATTACCTGAATTATATTTAAAATGGATATATAACAATGAGATGCATTTCTGTCTAATGCTGTAGAAACCATCATATTTTTCGGTTGTAGCAATCGTCGCATCACATCTAAGACAGATGTTTTTCTCACAGATGCACCCTGTTTCTCAATAATTTTCATGAATGTAGACATATGTTGTACAAAATACAAATATATTTAAATATCAAATGTGATTATTCTAATAATCTGAGCAGAAATATAATTTTTCTTTAAATAAAGATAAAAATCAAATAAAGGAAAAAATATTTGATTTTCTCTGATATTAGTTTTTTGCAAATGCATCAATCTACAAAATTATAATATGCAATTACACATTTTTAGATAGAATTAATTTTTGTCCAAGTTCATATCATTTCATATATAAAAGTATTAATTATTAAATATTGTTATATATTATACAATGAATACCTATCTCAAATATTTTATATTTCATATTATATTCTGACAAAATATGAAATAAGTAATAATTAAATCATCAGATACCTCTTGATCCGTTGTAAGTGGAGTATATCCAGTCATTAGAAAATGCAAGCGAGGAGTTGGTATAAGTGGTGCAATCAAACCAACCAAATCATTGTTCATATACGAAGGATATCTCAAAGTGGTGGTACTAACAGACATTATTGTTGAAACAAGCTTATTAATTTGTGTGAAGCTGGGATTCTGGATATGCAATCTGTCTGAAGCAATTCTATTCAAAGCAGTATTATCCAAAACTACCACACAGTCTGCACATTGAGTCAGCCTTTTCAATGTTAACAATGAATTATATGGTTGTACTACGACATCGCTGTAACAAAAATGCTATGTCTATGTATACACATATATATATATATATGTCTGTATATGTATATAGAATGTAACAGAGCGACCATATCAGACTTGTATTTCGAAAAATGTATATAAATATATAAATGTATGTATATCTATATATTATACAAAGAATTTTTAAACAAATAAATATTTACCTTATTTCATCTTGATTTGGAAAAACACTGTATGTCTCAATCAATTTTTTGGGAAATCTATCAGCAAGAGATTCTAACATAAAAGATCCCATGCCAGAACCTGTACCTCCCGCTATAGAATGGCACAAAACAAAACCCTACACAAATTCCATGATTCTTAAAACAATTATATTTAAAAATATGAAGAATATTTTTATATTATAGACATCAAATTAGGATTCCACATATTACTAGAGTACTAAAATACAAGAATAATAGTTACTTCTAAGCTGTCACTACCATCAGCTTCTCTATCCAAAATATCAAAGATTTCTTCCTGTAATTTTTCACCCTGATGATATCCAGATGCCCAGTTATTTCCAGCACCACCACCATGTTTTGACAAGTAGATATTTTCAGGATTATACAGCTTATAACAAAATGAAAAATTTTAACTTTAATGTCAAATGATATAAAACACTATATATACATATATTTATATATATCTATTACCTTTGAGTATGGAGAATTCATAATAGTATGAATTACTCTTGGCTCCAAATCCAATAATACAGCTCGTGGTATGTAGTGTTCATCATCTGACTGATAAAAAAAGACATCCTTTCTATCCATTCCCTCTGTTGCATAATCTTCTAAAATTCCTTCTGGATTAATTCCATGTTCTGCACATAACCTTTTCCAAAATTCAAATCCAACTGCAAAAATAAACAAAATATGTAAATGTACAAATACATATGTTACAAGTGTAAAAGACTTTGCACAAAAAGCTACATAATGTTTTGAAGATCTGATCGTTTACAGGTCTTTTTCCTTAATTGTTTGATTTATTCATGTAAGGATCTAGATGAACTTAACAAAATGTTTTAAGTTTCGTAAAACTCTGACTTTGATAGCCATTCTACAATGTGCTCTTTGTTTCCTATTTCTTGCTGTTTGTCTCTTGCCTTTTGGTCAGAAAGGCAAGAGACAAATGACAAGAAACAGGAAACAAAGAATACATTGTAAAATGGCTATGCTTATCTAAAATTGCCAAAGTTAAAAAACCATACAGTTATTAAACTTATGTTACTTTTATGCCACTATTTGAATTTATATTATACTTCAAAACTTATATTTAAAAATTAATAGTAGCATCATCTGTTACAAAATAAAATGTAACTATTTACTTTGATTGCCACATTGACCAAGTTGCAGAGTTATCATTTCACACGGCATTTTAATATTTGAATAAAATATTTTTCGTCGAGAGAATTTAAGAAAAGGAATTCACAGTCTTCTTCTTCTTCTTCTTAATCCCCTTTTTGGTTTTCCGATTCAAAATGAAGGATCACAGTATCATGCGTAGATTTTGGATCAAAGATCCAATTCACGGCCGGCGAATCTATAAACAAGCTGCGTTGCGATATACAAAAATGTGTTCGACAAAAACACAGATCGCAGCCATGATATAAAGGTTCATTCACATGCAAGCGTCAAGCATCAAGTAGCGGAAGTAGCAACCAATCAGCTGGGTGATATGGGCAGTGGTGTAAAAAATATTTTTAGTCGATGAATTTTGCTTTGTATTATCGGAATCCTGTTTTCTGATTGGATGCAAAGCGTCGTACGACGAAAATCGAATGCAGTGTGAATCCAGCAATATGCTCGTATTCTTATGCCCGTCCTATTCATAGGATGGAATCCATAATGGCCATTCTACAATAAGCCATTACCCCGGATCTACAATAGAG